AAAAAAAAAAAAAAGGTTTAAATTTCAATTACCACATAGTTTTGTGTATTTATGTGAGACAGTGGTGGTGTTTCAATACATGGTTTTTTGAAATTAATTTTATTGGTACATTTAATGCATACAATGTAATGACATTCACTGTCGGAAATTGGTACCTTTACATAATCAATCTTGGTTCTTATTTTTTTCCCTATTCCCTTGCCCCACCTTCACCCCCTCCCTCCCTATCTACAAAGACTTTGTTTCCATTATTTTTCATTTTCTTACATTAATTCCATTCCCTTCTTTCCTTTTCCTTACCCCTCCTATTTCCCCTTCTTCTTTGTCCCTTTTCTTCCTGTTTCTCATTATCTATTGTATCTTCTAGTCCTTTTTTACACTTTCAGTTTCTTACACTAGAGAAACTATTCGGTATTTACACATGTGTGTCCTATATATATCACTTAAGCGTATCACCTCAATGTACATCCATTTATCTATGAATATCTCTAATTTCTCATTCTTTATGACTAAGTACACCATTTTATTAAAAAAAAAACAAAACCCCAAACCCACATTTTCTTTATCCAGTCTCCCACTGATGGGCAACTGGACTGCTTCCAAGTTTTAGCTATTAAAAATTGTGCTGCTATGAACATGGGTGCACATATCTCACTATGGAATGATTCTTTTAATTCTTCAGGGAAGATACCCAGCAGGAGGTTATCTGGGTCAAATGGGACTTCCAATCCTAGTTCTTTGAGGTATCTCCATACTGCTTTCCACAGTGGTTGCACCAGTCTGCACTCCCACCAGCAGTGGAGCAGGGTTCTTCTTTCCCCACAGCCCTGCCAGTATTTGTTATTGGTTTATGAACAACCAACTACCACTTTGAACAAAGTATTTACAAATGATCAACACTACATAAAGAATTATTTAAAGACTATAAACATACCAAAGGTGTAGGGACAGTGAGAAGGATAGGGAAGGGGGAATAAGGGAAAAGGAAAAAATATGAGAAAATGTAAAAATGGAATTAAAGTGTTTGAGGGGGGAGGGGAGGGGAGGGTGAAGGGAGGGCGGGGACAAGGGGAAAAAATGAGAACCAGGACCTGGCATGTAAAGGTACAAGATCCCAGTAATGAATGTAACTGTACTGTCTGCCTAGAATGTACCAATAAATTAAATTTTAAAAAAAGAATATAAACATAAACATTAATTTCCTCACTTAATGTATTTCCCACAGAAATTGCCTTGAATATTTCTACTTCTAACAAAATCTATCTGGCTTGTACATAGTTGTAATAATACTTCTGGCCATTTTAACTTATTGACAAAATCTTCTATAAACAGTAGCTCTGTAATCTTTGTCCTGCTACAGGAAAGCCTTTCTTCTGTTCTCATTTTAAAAGATAAAACAACAAGATTGCCTTTCTATATTATTTGCATCTTCTTCTAGTTCCTTAATATAAAAACAATTAAATGAAAAAAAAAGGATAGACAAACAAAAAAACCTACCCAGAAACAAAACAATGTTCAAAAAGAGTAAGTAATTCTATGGAAACAACAAAAGATGAGAGGAGAGAAAGAATCAAAACCAACAGAAAAACAAGAAATAATGTCATGTTGTTATGTTGCTGGCATGCATAAAAACCCTTTAGTGGACTTTCCCCAATCACTAGGGAGTAATTTTCCCTTCTCAAGTGGGAGTATCTTCTTTACCCTTTGAAACTGGGGTTGATATTTACTAATTAATTTATATAGAATGGTCCCTTAGCAACCATTTTGGACAGGATCTGTTACCTCTGGTCTCTGTGTTTAAAAGTAGATATCCTTTTCCAAGAAAACACCATTGATAGAGGCCAGCTGGATATAAGAGTATTCTAAAGACAGATATCAAATGACACACAGTACCACATGATTAAAAAAAATCTTAGAAATTGAGATGTTGCTATTTGATATTGAAATGAGCTTTTCATAACATTTAATTTATAGTTAATATTATACCAAATACAAAGACCTTATCAACAAAGAATCATTTTCATTCTATACATTTTTCTTTATGTTTTGGCTTACTGTGATTTTCCCACTCACCCTTACGTAGTAGATAAAATGCACAAGGAAATGACACTTTATCTGCCTTGTTCCTTGAATTTTGAGACTCTAGTCCCTGGCTTACATACTCACACACTCAATAAATAAGTGCAGGATAAATGAAACATGAATTAGTACTTATTTTTAATATTTTGATAAAGGGATGTTATAGTTTAGATCTCAAATACTCCCCAAAACTCAAGTGTTTTTGAGGTGATTGGATTACAATGGTACCATACTCCTTAGTGGATTTATCCATTAAGGATTTCAGTAGCTTAATGTGATGTTAGGAGGGTGGGGGTCTGGTTAAAGGTGGATCACTGGGGCATGATGTGGAAAGGTATGTTCCTGTTCCTGGTTTCTTCCTTCATGATCTGTTTCCTGGCTGCCATATGTTGAACAGCTGCCCTTTGTCAGGCCCTTTGGTCATTCTATTTCCTCCTTGGAGACAACTAACCATAGACTAAATCCTTGAAATCTGTGTGCCCAAATAAACTTTTTCCCCTCTGAGTTGTGGGTGTCAAGTATTTTGTGCTAAGACACTATATGCAGCTGAATTTAAAGATGATGAACTAATTAATCTGGCAGAGGAAATTTCAAGGAAGCCCAAAGTTCAAGCTGTGGCATGGTTACTTCTTGTCATTTTTTGGCCAGACCTGCCATAAGAATTAGGAGAAAAAGGCAGGATTAAATGATTGGAAAATTCACAGTTTCATTAGAAAGGAAATGCCTGTAAGTTTGGGGCAAGAGGAGTATAGTTGCTGAAAAGATTAGAAAGAAGTGAAGTATTTTGTATCAGGACAGTAGCATAGATTACTTGAAAGAATCTTAGGAATTAGCAAGACCCTGCCCATCACAAGCTTAAAGGTGTAGAAGTATAAACCATTTATTTGAGAAGAGTGACCCCAGACCTGCTGCTGCAGAAAGGCCATCTGGACAATTGGTTCACTGAGATTCATTTTACTTTGTTCAGCCCTCCAGGCACTCAGAGGCTGCTGCAGCTATGGTCCAAGGGAGCCTTGCTACACTCAAGCAGGTGGCAGACATTGGTGTCATCCACATGGTGCTTGTTTTATAAGTAGGCAGAGTGTAAGAGTTATGGGGTCATGGGGACTCCTTAAGGAGTCCAGGGAGGCCAGGCAAAAATGTATGACAGTGTTACAGTCCCTGCAAGGAAGCTATGGTATGGCAATGCTTGGTGCTGTGAGAGTGAAGCTTAAAGTAAAGTGGGAACCCAGGAAATTGGAGATGGTACACACAAGGGATGTCTGCTGGGGAAAACTGCACACAGTGAGCAGAATCAGCCCAAGAGAGGTTATATGGGCTGTAGCAGACAACACCATATTGGCAAGGATGTGTAAGCCTTTTGGAGCTCACATTTCTCCATAACTTGACTGGATGCTGGATATGGAGCTATAAGATTTAATGTTAACTTGTTTTGTTTTACTATTGCTTTGGTCTTATTTCTTTCTAATTTCTTATCCCTTTTTGGAATGGGAATATTTACTCTGTGCCATTGTATATTGGAAGTATTTAACTTTTTAATTTTTTTATAGGAGTACAGATAAGATTTTGTACTCAGTCTCAGAGGAGATTTTTAGCTTGGACATTTTAGGAATTCCATCCTTCCTTCCTTCTTCCTTTTATTGATGATATACAGTTGTTTAAACACCATTTGTTGAAAATACTTCTTGCTGTATTGTGTTTTTGCCTTTACATTTTTGTAATAGATCAGCTGGCTATATTTATGTGGGCCTATTTCTGGGCACTCTATTCTATTACATTGATCTATTTTATTCTATTATAATGTCTTGATTACTATATCTTGAGAAGTAAGTCTTGAGTCAGGTAGTATCTATCATCCAACTTTATGTTTAATATTCTGTTATTGATTTTAGGTCTTTTTATCTCCTATATACACTTTAGAATATAAATTGATAGCCACAAAACAACTTGCTGGGTTTTGATAGGGATTATATTGAATCTATTAAGTTGGGAAGAACTGACATTTTGACTCATCCTATTCGTGAACATGGAATATCCTTTGATATATTTAGTTCTTTCATTTATTTAAACAAAATTTCATAATTGTTTAATACTATAGCTTTACGTCAGGACCCAGTTTTGAGGCTATGCAGGGAAATAAGTTCCTCTTCTTGGCCAGCCAAATAAGTTTACAACTCTAACCACCTCCCTTAGGAGGATCTCATGCTCAAGGCCGCCATCTACCCACCCTGAACACTTTGAGGCCGGGTGTCAGACAACTGGAGACAGTACCTATATCCAAGTGTCTGCTAAGGTGTTTTGTTCAGTTAATCCTGACCCTGTAAACCTCCTTGACCATCCCTTCCCTAAAATAAACCTATAATAAAGGTACTTGCCAAAAGTTTGCTTTCTTCTTCTGCATTTGTACTATGTTCTCCTCAGGGAACTGTGAGCATAGACAACTCTAACTCCTCTTTTGGGTTTATTTCGGTGTGCTGAGACCTTCCACTCATGGTGTGGCATCATTCTCTTGCTGCTGGAGCTGACTTTGCTATTCGCATGAGAGCTGTAAGTCCTAGGTAACTAACATCTCTCCAAGAAGCTCTCAGCCAAAGGCTCATTGGAGTGAGTATAAATACCCCTACTTCCTGCTGCTGGGATCTATTAACTCGGAAGCATACATTTTATGCTACCTCCCAGGATTTCACCAGCAGCATTAAGAATTCCCCAGCCATTGGAGAATTGCTTACTCTGATACCCAGAAAACCATATTTTTGGCCGCCCTATCTTCACTGTCTCACTTTCCCCTTTCCTTACCAATGCTTTCTTTGGCCTCACCTGTAAGTTACTTGAATCTTGATTGAAATTTCTGTAGTTTCCATAAGAAATTATAAATCTGAACACTAAATATCTGAATGTTGGTTGGACCATGTGCTCCCTGGAGGCATTACAGGAGGATCATTGCTTTCCTCTTCCAGTTTCTCTTGCCTCTGGACATTGTTCAGCTTGTGGCAGGGTAACTCCAATCTCTGCTTCTGTCACAAAATTGGCTGCTCTTCTGTAATCCAAACATCCCTCTGCCTCCTCTTCTAAGGACACCCGTCATTATATATAGCTTCCCAAATTGTATGATATCATATTAAGAACCTTACTTACATCTCAAATAAAGTTATATTTACAGGTTGTGTGGATGTGGTGGAGTGGAGTGGGTTCAACACTAAACTCATAAACCTAAATCCTTGTTTTAAAGCCTTTTTCTGGGAGCAACTCAAAGTCCAACATCTTCATCACGCAAATTGAATTATGATTTATTTTTCAGAGTAGCTTAGGTTTCAAAACTTATATATGGGGGTTCAGACCCTTCCTTTTTCATGCCAATGTTCCCAGAAGAAATAGTTTCTATCAAACTGAATCAAAACTGGCTTCTATCAAACTGAAATGAAGCACAATTTCATTCTTAGGTATGAATTGTTACATCCTTTGGAACATTTCTAAGCCAGTGAGAGAAAAAAACAACATAATTCCCCCCAAATTGCTTTGCTTTCCTTTTTTCACTTTTCTTCCTCTCTCTTCACTTGCTACCCTTGTTCTTCTGTTTTGTGTGGCTGCTGTTATCCTTATCAAAACAATTCAAACTTCACATTGAGCTGATTTCTCTAATGTTCACTAGATCATGTATTACAGCTTATATTTATGGATTTTTTGGAGGCGTGTAGAAAGGCAAGATGAGCCCAAAGTATCTAAGATTTTGGAGCTACAGATACCTAATGTCATCTCTGGTAGTCTCACTTCTCACATTAAATAAGTAAGATCTAGAGCACATAAACCAGCACGGACTTGCAATGGACAACTCAGAGTATTATGGGCCTAGGAAATTTCAGGCTTTTATTTGGGGCATCTTTTTTTTGGGGGGGGGGTCCCTGGGATCAAATTCAGGGCCTTGACTTGCAAATGTGGGGCATTTTTTAAACAAAGAACATAAATTTAGAAAATCTATGGAGTTCTCCCCAATGAGGATCATTTATTGTATGGAAAATCAGCCATCTTTCTTTATCAAAACCTGAAATCTTTTGCTCAATTCTCTCTCACTAGCTCCACTGTGGTTAGTAACAGTTCTTACCCAGTACCTTAGGGTATGGGATGGTCTGTCCTCCACATTTATACATTTCAACACCGGATTGACATGTCTTTCTACTTGCTCTTTGGGGATTTCTGAAATTTTCCATTTCCCTTAACCAATGGGAATGCCTGCAGAGAAAAGCAGGTAAGCATAACATACACTATAACTGAGACAGCTCTGTTTGGCTGGATCTCAGAGTTCCACAGAGTGAGGGGAGTGGGAAGGGACTAGAGATGTAATCAGGTAACAGATAAAATGCTTAAAATGCCCATAAAGGATTTTTTACTCAGTCTTTAGGTACTTGTGGGTCCAATAAGACGTTTTAAGAAGGATGCAGCAGGACATCCTGCCAAAGACTGGAGGCATGTCTGAATGCAGAATCCCGAACCCCTTCTTTTGGGCAGGTCATTTTGTCTTAAGAACAATGCAAATGAAGGTCTTACACAAATATCTCTAATCAGAATCAAACAAATACCAATCAAGTTCTTTGTACTTTGGCTCGGTAGGGTGCTATTGAGATGATTGAAAGCCAGACCTGTGCTTCGTGCCAGCACTGGTCCTGCCCTGCCCAATCACATCATGGTGACCTCCACTTTTCATAGCTGCCAGCTCAGTGTGGCGGATCATGCAAAGGAAAATGAATATTGGCACTCAAACTGTGGTTGTGGCATAGGCTTGTTTTGGAAACTTCAGGTTGGAAATATACTGTATGTTTTATCTACAGCAAAAACTGCTGATAGTAATTACTATTTGTTCAATTTGGTTGTTATTAAATACATTACCTGAAAGCTTACCTTCAGTACATGTGAGAACATATATGATTAAAAGTTACTGTGGCATGCCCCATACTACCAAGTGAGATGATAGACACAAGAGTCTCTCAGGTATTGAATTCCTAGTGTAAAAAGCAGAAAGAAGATAAGCAATCTGAAAAGTAAGATATATTTTTCCCTTGGAAGATGTATTTTTCTCCTCCAAAGCTACATAAACATATAATATATAATTTTGCCATATATATAATAAACGTGTTATGTGCATCTTGCATACATCATAAATCATAAATATATATATATTATACTCCTATTATATATTATACATATATAACATATTTTAGAAATGTCTATAAAGAATATATATTCATGTATATTTGTGAGCATATATATATCCAGGTGTGTGTGTATATACACATTTATATATAAAGTTTTGGACAATCTTCTAATTTTTAAAATAAGAAATAATACCTACTTCAAATATTGGTTTTGGGGATTATAAATTAGGTTGATAGTGTACTCAGCAAAAGGGCTGCATACATGACATGCACAATTGTGAGTTTCTTTTCTCTAAAATTTAAGCATCAAAAGCAAGTATATGCAAACGTAAGAATATAGAAAATGGTGAATATGTATTAGTTTCAGTCATTAGCAGAGAAAGAAGTCAAGGATAATATTTACTTTTCTAATTTGAGGAGTTGAAATTTATTTTCAGTATATTAAGCAAACAAAAATAATTACAGGTTTTTCTCTGTTCTTACTACATCGCTCAGTCACTTATTTGATCCTACCTCTAAGTGCATAAAATTATCTATTTCATTTTTATTTTCAAATTTCTATTCCAGATATTGTAGGTCCAGATTTAGCTACAGTCATTTATCTTTTTATTTTTTTTAATTGGTTTTTTTTTTTTTTTTTTTTTTTTTTTTTTTCGGGGGTACAAAGCAGGCGCCAGAACGACTGAGCTAAATCCCCGGCCCATCATTTATCTTTTTAAAATGAAACCAATTGATATACTTCTTGAAATTCGACCTTTCAGTTTTGCTTTTATCTTATTTTTTAGAATAATTGGTACACAAAAGTTTAATAAGCAAGATTATAAATGAATAAGTATTACATACTCATCAAGGAGTAAATACAACTTCACAATTTCTTTGATGCTTTTCTTTTTTGCCAAACAGTGCAGACCAGGTTCCCAGGCTGAAGCCCAAAGAAACTAGCAGAGTACTTCCTCCTGTATCTGGGAACCTTCCAGAAGCCTGAACGGCTGCACCGGAAGTCGGACTACTCCAAGACTTCCATGCTCGAAGGGTCACTCGTCTACAAGTTCTGTAACACAGGTAAGCCTGGACTTCCAGTCATCCCTGCCCAGACCACAGCCATGTGTGTAAAGTCATGTCTTTGATGCTGTCTTCTCCCCATCTATGAGCTGAACACTCCCAGTGGACCTCAGTATTATGAGCCGAAGAGTTTCTCAGTGGAAACTAGCCAGCACTCCTAACCACTCAAAACTATGAGAAATCATAAAATTGGAATTGTTTTGAGTCACTAAACTTTGGGAATACTTTGTTAAATGTTAATAGATAGAACCATGGATTTACAAAAAAAAAAAAAAAAAAAAAAAAAAAAGAAAAGTAGAATGAGCTTCTTTCACGAATGGGTATTGCTAGTACAAGTGCAGCGGATACACTGTTATCTCCAGGAAACTGGAATGAACCACTAGTTCTAGAAAAACAAACTATATTTTTAGCAACTGGGATAATTTTATATTTCTTGATCATCTTATACAAACCTGGGAGTATTTCATTAAAACAATGAGGGTGTTCTTCATCACAAAACTATGTATTTTCCAGGAGATTATTGTGAGTATCTGATTCAGACATCTGGTATTCACCTGTGAGGCTATAAACATAAGGTGACATCAGTTTTACTTGAGCGGTAAAATATTCCTGAAATAACTATCATCATAACAGATTTAATATAATACTGTTTGGTAACACTATAGTTTAGATATGAGTGAAAGATTAAGTTTTATGGAATATTAAGTACCATTTTTAATTATTCTAATCATAATTGTATACTAAAATACATATACCTACAAACAAAAAAGTGTGATAAATATTTAGATCAACTAAGTGTTTAGAAATGTTAGGAGCACTTAAGAGCAGTTGAGATAAATGACACAAGGACTCTGTGCTTGATATCTCCTCTTTAACTTACGCCCCTACCCTTTGACCTTCATTTTTTGCTTCCTTCACACTATATGTTTCTCTGGAGTGGGGAAGAGGGAGGGTGGCATCCATTTCAAGCAACATTTGAAGAGAATCAAATTTCTATTATCTTGACTTTTTTACTATTTTCAGACCCATATTTTTAATAACATAAAAGCATGCCCACCTAGATAAACTTCTAATAGCTCAAAGTAAAATTGTCCAGAGAGAGTGAGCAAGAGAAAGAGAGAGAGAGAGAGATCATTATGTTTAACTGCACAATCATTCAAATTTATCAAGCTAACAACTTTAAGGTGACTTTTACCTTTCTTTCCTCTCATCCTATAAATAATTGAACTTCAAGTCCTGTGATTTTGATCTCTGAGGCATGGTTTCTAGCTGGACTCATGTCTCTCTTTCCACATAATTTAGACTTTTGTCATTTATTTCCTGTACTTATATGATAATCTTTCCTTTCTTACAGCAAATAACTTAAATATTTATTGTTAAAAATATTGCCAAAGAGGATATAATGTCCAGCAAGAAATAAGTTTTCTTTCATCACAATGGTAGAAAAAGGTGTTTCATTGGGTGAAATGGCATGTTTCTTCTATTCTTATTAATTACCACGAAACTGTTGAAAGATTATTATTAAATTGTAATATATATAGTGTACATACACCTTTTGTATAGTTCAGGAAATTTTCAAAAAGTGAACACATTTTTATAATCACTATACATGAAAAAACAATGTTCTAGCATTCCTAAAGACCTCTTTCATGTTCCCTCCCTTGCAGTACCTACTCTCGGGATTTCTGTTGTTATTAATATTTCCTGGTTTGAATTTTTATATGAATGGAAAAGTGGTGTGATTCTTTCTTTTGCTCCACTTTAAAGTTCCTGTTTGTCTATGTTAGAGCAGTAATTCTTTATTCTTTCTCATTGTCGTACGATATTCAGTTACTGTATACAGATAGACCAGAGAATATATATCTAGCCTGATATTGATGGATAGTTGAATTTTTTATTTAGGCTATTGTAAAGAGTGCTTATTAACACTTTTTTTCTTGACTTTTAGGGCAAAATGTGTACTCGATTTTGTTGGGTGTATTCCTAGGAGCACAAAATCATTGGGTTGTGGGAATATTCAACTTTGTTAACATTGCCAGTTGCTTTGCCCAAACAGTTATATTGTTTTTATTTGTTTGTTTTTACTCCAGCAGCAATGCATGAGAGTTTTCCTCTATTCAAATTTGAGTAATGTTAGTGTCTGAGCTATTTAGTGAACATATGGTTTTATTCAGGGATGAATAATCACATTGACTCTCTTTTGAGCTCATTGACAATTTAGATATCTTTTTAAATGAAAGTCTGTTCAAATATTTTTAAGAGAATTTTCTCTTTCTGGTCACTAATTGCAATCCTATCTTCTGTATCTGAAATTCCATCCTCACATTGGCTCATTCTGCTGCATAAAGTTTCGATGGAGTTTTTAGTTTCCTGGAAATCTGTTTGCATCTATTTTATGGATTCCATTTGTTTCCTATGTTGGGATTCCATCATGTTCCTCAGCTCCTCTATTTTTTTAATTTGTGTCCAATCTAGATTTATTAATCATGTCTTGCACTACGGGCACAATCTCTGTTGTTATCTGAGAAATTATTTCTGATTTCATTTTTCCCAGGCCCTCTTTCATTGCCAGTTCTGGAAGTCCAGGTGGTTGGGTATCAGATTGTTCCATCTCATTGCCCTTTGGGGTTGCCTTAGGTGACCTGGAAGTCTGCTTTTCAGACTTATTTACATGTCTTCTAATTTCCAAATATTATTAAAAAGTTAGTTGTTTTCCTTTTGAAGAATTTTTCATTTACTTATTTGGTAAGAGATTTCTTTGTGCATGCATGGCAAGAAATGTTTCATTTTGTGGCCTTCCTTGTCACTCTGAGAGTATTTTGGTAAATAATAGGTTTTTGGCTTTAATGTGGACCTGTTTAATCAAGATTTTTCATTTTTACTGGTATTTTGTAAAACAGGTAATAGATAATGAATCTGCATGCAGGTTATTTTGTGGAATGTTCGTTTTACTTTTTTACCTATTGACTAACTGAAATTAATTTTTATGTATGGACTGTTGTATGAGTGAAAATTTATTTTTCCATGTAGATATTTAATGAACCTAATGATATTCATTGAAAAGACCATCTTTTCTTCACTATGTTGTAGTGATATCTCTTTATAAATCAAATAACATTGCACATATGAGTACATTTCTTTATTATTTTAATTTTTATTCTATTACTTTGGTCTTTTTAGCTATCTTTATAATATTAACCCACTTGAATCATTTTAACTTTGCCACAAATATTATGAATATTTATTTTATTTTTATTCCATTATTTTCATCTATTTAGTTATCCTTATAATATCAAACTACTTAATTATTTTAGCTTTGCAATAAGTCTTGTGAATGTGACCCATGACTTTGCTCTGTTTCTTCACAAGCCTCTTGGCTATTTTCTAACCTTAACTTTTATATAAGAATTTTAGAATAGGCTCACTGACTTTCATAAAATTTCATAGATTTTGTTTTGTTTTTGTTTAGAGCCCTGGCTCAATTTAAGAAGAGTTATCTTTGAAATATTGACTTTTTCATTCTGTGAATATGACAGTTTTTCAATTATGTCAGCATTCTTCATTTTCTCTCAATAATGTTTTATATTATACATGATCAAACTCAAACCTATGTATTTTTCTAAATTTGTTGATACATACTTGTAAGTTGCTATAAAAAGCTATATTTATCTCCTTATTTTTGCATGTGATTCTTTTTCCTATTTTTCAAATGTTATTTCTTCCATGCTTTGTGATTTTCAATAATTTTTGAAACAAATCTCACCTTCCATTACCTCTGTTAAACCTCCCCTTGCAGAATAAATTGTATTTTCTTACATTCACTGATAACATTTTCTCATATCTCTATATTGAATTCATTCCTATCATTATTTCTTTTCTTTTCTTTTTTAAAAATTTTTGAGATAGAGTCTCACTATGTAGTTGAGACTGACCTGGAACTCACTATGTAGCCCAGGCTGGTCTGGAACTCACAGTGACTCTCCTGCCTCAGCCTCCCGAGTGCTGGAATGACAGGCATGCACCACCACGCCTGGCTTTATCATTATTTCTTTTACTAAATTGAACTCCTCAAAAGCAAGGACAAATTTTTATTTGTATTTTTGTTGCCAGTAACACGATTCTCCACTGAGCAAGAATATGACTTATTTGCCTAATGGGGTGTGTTCCATTCATTAGTAATCCCAGTTCATGTACCTAGATACATGAAAATGGAAAGAACTTCACATGCCTTTCACACTCAAGTGCTTCTCAAGGTTGCCTGGTATCAAAAATAAGCTTAGAGATAACAAATATACCTTAAGACCCAGCTATAAAATCTAAAAATAATTATTGCTGTGTTCCTAAGCCTCCTATAGATTAGATCCTTGACATTCAATGTGTGTTCTATGGAATAACCACATCAGAAGCATGTACAGTTTTATATCATCCTCTTATCTCAGAGTTATCCTTTGGAGATTACGGTTTTGGGATCTCTCCCTGGTTTCCATTCTCTCTGAGAGGATGGAGAGCAGTCTAAAATTAGGCTTCCAAAATTAGAGTCATCCTAAGGCTTTGGCAGTAGGCTATTTCAGTTGAAAACATAGTACTTTTTTTTTTAATTGAGTTTATTGGTACATTTAGGGATACAGTACAGTTACATTCATTGTTGGGATCATGTACCTTTACATGGCAAGTCTTGATTCTCATTTTTTTCCCCTTACCTCTGCCCTCCCTTCACCCCCTCCTCCCCTCCCCATCTATAAACACTTTATTTTCATCTTTTCATTCTCTCACATTTTTTTCTTTTCCCTTTTTGTTCTTCCCCTACATATCACGCCTTCCCTACACCTTTAGCTCCTAGAAAAAAAAAACATAGTACTTTTAAGAATCTATCAGGATGAAGGAAACTGTCTCTCTTATTATTGCGGAAATCCTCCACATTGGATGCCGCTGTGGGCCAAAGTGTGAGAGACTCCTTAATTCTTGTTCCCCTGCCTTAATCATGCTCTCTCGACCTGTGGTGACATGGACATGGTCCAGAAACTGGCATTTGTCATATTTTCTTGGTGAGAGAGGTCAAAGAACAATCCTTAAGAGCCAAGGCACCCGTTTCTGTTGATCTTTATAGAAGGCTATAAATGAATTATTTTTTTTTCCTGTATCCAGAGAACACTGCCCATCTAGATAGTAGGCACACTGTCCTGTGTGCAAGTGTGTGTTTAAACCTAGAGCGAGAAGACACTACATTTCATTCTACCCAGAACTTCATAACTAAAAAGGCCTTGTTTGTAGCAAGTCTCATTCAGAGCAGGTCTGTTTATGACACTGAAGGAAAATAGGAGAAAAATCACTGGACTTGGAAGCAAACAAATTCAAAATAAAATACAAACCATTCATAACCCTGAACAAAATATAAATGAGAATATTTTCAGAATTACTTAGATATGATGAGGCTGTTGCTTTGTTTCTTTATTATAAATATCTTTCCATATTTTTTAGTTACTGAAGTTTGGATGCTCATAGAGATGAGTAATAACAAAGAGAAAGAAAACTGTATGCAGATTTAGAAATAAAGTATTTGGA